CATTTTCAGGATGATCATATTGTTTATCTGCATAAAACGTAAGTATTCGTAGTTTTTGCAAATTGAAAACATGTGACCAGAGTTCATCGTTAGCAGGATCTTGAAGATCTAAGTGATGAAGATTTGGAAATAAAAATGAATGTAAATGAAAAAATCGTGAATACGACAGAACATCTACATGATCATATGAATTATAGACATTATCATCAGGACAAGTTGATCTATAACAACTTGAACCGAGAACGCTTGAATCATTGCTCAAACTAGGTAAAGTCGTTAATACTATTCCTGGCCATCCCTTCGATTCTGGCATTTTCTCCCAATGACATTGAACATACCATTGATGTTCCTCAAGCCAAAATGAACTTCGAAATGAATTCAATAATCTATCAACATATTTTTCTATCTGGTTACAGTCGTCCGCTGCAAAGTCCATATATAGACGAAATATTTTTAATTTAGGTAAATAAGTTCGAATAATATATTCCCACTGTTTTCCATCAAGATAAAATTGTTTCATACTAACTGTTAGATGAGATAAATTTGGTAAATATTTCCAAAAAGATAACGTATTTGTCGTAACTCGCATGTACACGTTCAATCGAGTTAACGTGAAAGTGGTATAAGATGAGAGTTCTTTTTCAGGCTCAGAATAATCTATAATATTTGTGTTTAAAGATCGAAGATAAGGTGTATTTTTCAGTAATTTTGGTAATACATCCCAATCCATAGAACCACGTTGATAGAATAAATATTGTATTGATAATGATGTGACATCCGGTGCAATAAAACTTGTCGATGTACCATAAATACCATTTAAATAACAATATACTAAATGATCAAGACTCCAAATACTATTAATAATCGTATGAAAATCAATTTTCATTGTAAAACTACAATTAATTATACTTAAAATCGTAAGATATGGTAATTGATGCCATTCAATTATTAATCTTTCCATGGGATTTGAAGAATTAATACAATAGAATGAAAGTGCACGTAAATGAGAAAGTTGAAGAAACGATGGAAAATAAATTGGAATATATTTTGATTGTACTGGTGTATTATCATCATCAGAAAAACGTAATGAAATAATTTGATTTCGAATTAATGGAAGATATTTTGTACATATAACATGCAAATCAGATTTTGATACAGATTGAAAATCAAGATGATATGAGTGAAAATGTTTGAGAAGAAGAATATTAAATCGATACTTAACATTGTAAAATGTATGAAAAAGATCTTCAATTTTGAAATATTCAAAAAGATCAAGTAATATTTCATTGGGTAAACATTCCAAATTCATTTCAACCCTGTTAAAAGAAAAGAAAGTTTAAATGTTGTTAACTGCAGCCTGCGAAAGAAGTTCTGTTACTGTAGATGCAATGACACTTGAAATAACTTTTGTAATGTCAACACATGTGTATGCATGGAGACAAGCAGAAAAAATGAAACATTTGTGTCGCTTGTTTTGAGCGAGAATCGAAACTCACCCTCATCCGTTACAATCCGCTCTGGAGGGTGTGGATGTGGTATTAAGAGAACATTCTTACTCTCACCCCACCCTTAGGATGTTTTTTTTTATTTATACACTATTTACCAATTTCTGAATTTCGAAGATCACTAATTTTCTCTAAATCTTCTATACATGTCAATTGAGGAAACATTTGTTGTGCATGCTTTGAAAAATACAGAAATATTGCAGCAACATTACCTTAGAAGAAACAAAAGAAAAATAAATGATAGGGAAAAAAATCATAATAGAATATTTACGTGATACGTCAGTTACGCGCGTGGCACTTGCGCGTAAAAAAAATTCTTTCCATTCTGTTAGTGAGATTGATTTATTAAGAAAATGCATAGAAGATATTAATGAGAACCAAAAGATTATCTAATTTTAATATCAAACTTGCTTTTTGCATCAAAATGAGATTAAAACTAAACAAAATAAATCAGATAAAAGTATAAAGAGACAGTATATATATAATAATTTCTAAGATATAAATATGTCTCTTATAAAATCAATCAAAGACAAAGACCAACGCACAAAATATGAAAAAATTGATCATCAAATACGAAACATGGTCAAAGAATTTCATACTATTTCTAGGAACGACTATTTTATAGTAGCCAGATCAGTGTTTAATTTCTGAACGGCTACATTATCTACTCTCAATTATTATTCACTTAGGGTATTTGTTTATTTATTGTAAATAAATACTATTTAACTCTGTTAATAATTTATATCAGTATATTTTTTGAAATTGAGAACTATTTTTTTATCAGCAGCAAAGCATAAATTTCTGCTCGTTCATAATTCAAACGAAATTTAAGAAAAATATATTTTATCATCTTTTTCTCAATTCGCGCGCAAGTGTCTATACGCTCAACTGTCGTGCGCGTAAGTGTCATGCGCGTAACTGTCGGTCAATCGAAATTAATACTATAGCTTTTTTTTATTGAATGTTCACAAATTGGAGAATTCTATATTTCTATATAGGTATATAATATTAATGATTTCGTATGATTTCTGCTCTCGAAATCAGTTTTTTCCCCCTTGAGTACACTTAACGACAGTACTTCTTACTTTAGAAATCCGAGAGCTTCCTAAGCTGCATCTCGTGGCATATTCTAACTTTCGAAAAAAAATATTAATTTCAGAAAGTTACCAATTTTTAAGAGGTGAAACGTATATATTCCACTGGAACTTAATGGGCTAATATATTAGTCATCTTGTTTAAACTGTACAAAACAAATATTTACAAAGAGATAATTTTACATCAGACGATGAAATACAAACTAAACTAAATAATAAATGAGAAAAGATTTTTCTTCGCCTGTTATTTAGTCTAGTCTGTAATCTCTTCTAATTCTTTAAAAATTAAGAAAGAATGTAGACTATAACAATAAACAATAAGAGACGGATCAAACAATAAAAAACCGAAATTAGAAGTGCATATTCGAAGAAATTATATTGTTGCACATTTACTGTGTCCGAAGTAGTTTTCTCGCTTATTAAAGTAATTTATGCTGAAATATTAATTTTTGATCGTTACTCTTTTGCATCTTTACGTAAATTCTATATTAAACAGTGATATTCAGTACATTTTGCAATGTCCTGACTTTTATTTAAATTCCTGATTTTTTTTCGATTTGTGTCCTGTCTATTTTCCTGATTTTGTACCATAGGCCGCTGCGAGGCCTGGATCTAAATTGAAATTTTGCAATACCTATCAAAAGATTGTAATGAGAAATCATATATTTATTAGTAGTTAAGGGTGAGTGTGGGTGAGTCAATAACTTGAGTAAAGATGCACATCTACATCCCTCACACAATGAAAAAACATGAAAACATCTCTCTTGTCAAAAAAATACAGTGAGGATTTGTATTTTTAGAAAAAAAAGAATTAACACACTATGTGGTTTCTTTCCCATATTTGTAAAAAATCAGAACGAAAAAACTGATCAACATTAGTGAAATCAAAGGTAAACAGCAGAACGAGCATTATTAATTCAGAAATCAATAACAACTGGCTATCTACACTGATATTTTATGAACAAAAATCTTATTCTCCATGTACAATGCATGTGGATTGTATCATCAGTAATTCTCCAGATGATTTATTTTCTATTCATTACATTTTATCTTTCATAAGGGCCCAAACAAATTTTGCTACAAGTCACAAAATAAAATAGACAGAATCGAAAAGGATTAATTATAAAATGTACGAAGTTTTCGATATATCATCAAACACCAAAACTCATACGCTCTGTCATGTATTCACAGAACTACAATTAAACAAATATTGTTGTTAACATAGATTTATTTCGAAAATTTGATCTCATCAAAGACAATATAACCACTATGATTAGTATCAATAGAATCAAATTCTTTTCGTAATTGGTATGTATTCGAACTATCCAGATTGAGTAGTTCATAACCTTTTCTTGAGGGTGGGTAGGTGTGGGTGTTATATTTATCTCTTATATCCACACCCACACCCACACCCACACCCACACCCTCAAGATGTAAATAGAAGATCAGTATTTATATAAAACATAAAATAAAGTTAAAAAATAATAAAAAAAAACGTTTGTTTCACTATTTGTCATTGCGAATCGTTCACTCATTTTTATCAAAACCTAGTTAAAAATAAAATAATATGGATAATGAGGATTTAATTGATCAAAATATTTACAATTTGTGATCTTTGTCGTCTGCGAGCCATACACAAACTGAAAAGCGACTAAGTTTGTTATTGATTTTACAAACAAAATCATTGAGATTTCTATTTCTTAAACGATGTGTATTTTTCATTAGCCATTCACTTGTTATTTCAATGGGATTTTTTCTATCAATGAAACGTGAATCAACATAAAAGACACCGCTAACCATACTTCTAAATTCATCGATTAAAACTGGTATTTGAGTTTTTGAATTAACATTAGCAATTAATCGTTCCACACATGGAAAATATTGAGACCAAGGAAAACAATCATCATCGTAAGATTCTTCATATGCAGGTAATGTTAATGTTTTAATTTGTTCAAGTGAAATATCTGGAATATTCTCACCATCAAGATTAGGATGAGGACCACTTAAACAAAGATCATCAACAGATGGGATTTCTTCTTTAATAAATAGTAAAGTTTTCCTGAATGTCCATTGAGATTCTTCTTTTATAACTAATGATTTTACTTTTGATAGACCAATAACATCCTTATCAATATTTAAACTTGAAAGAGAAATTTTTTCAATATTATTATAACGACGAAGTGCTTGTCGATGATCTGAATCAAATTCTAACTCAATAACACGATCATAACAAGTAATATGTTGTTTAATGGATAATGTTGTATATTTTGATGATATTGAATTAGATGAATATTTCGCTGAAGTTCGAAAAAAATAAGGTACTGTATAAAGAGATGAGTAATTCTCATTTGTAGCAACGAACCAACATTTTTCCATCCAAAATGGTTGACGATATTTATCAAGTACATTTTCATCAATATTAACATCCGAAAATTTAAAATTAAATTTTGTTAATCGTGATAGATTATTAACAATAAATATTTTCCATCGATCTGCATCATAACATTCAGGTTTCATATGACAATAAATGAACAATTCGAATTTTTGTAAGCATGTAAATGGAGTAAGAAATCCTTCGAGATGAGCACGTGCTATTTGTTATTGGAATGACTAGAAAGAAAAATAAGTATTTTTTTTCATTTATTTTATTTTATTTAAATATTTACCATCTTCTCCAATAGATAATGATAAATATTTGAGAGGAATTATTTTCGATTGTTTTTGATGAAAATTAATGAGTCTAGCCATTTGTTTTTTATCTGCAAACGTAAATGTAACATTCAATGATATCAGATGTATAGCTCGATGAAATATTTCTTGAAGTTTTTTACAGGAACAAGTTGATAATGTTAAGTGACGTATATGTTCAAAGTGAATTGTAGTTATTATTGGATCAACATTATAATTAAAATAAGATTTACTATGTTCTTTTATAATCAATCGTTGTAATGATGGACTAGGTTTAATAAATGGTAGTTTATTTCTTAGAATAATTTCAAGACTAATAAGATGTTTAAGTTTATATTAATCTATAAAGTATGATGCACCTTCATCATCTATTTCAATAGATTTAAATGCTCGTAATCGTGTAAATTGTTCAATTGAAACTCTAGATCGAAATAATTCAGATTGATTTGGTGTATGATTATCATTCGATAAAATTAATGAAGTAACTTGATTTGGTTGAATTTTTTGACAAATAAGATCTAAATGAGACTTACGAATTGATTGACCATTGATTTTATAATTCTGATAATTGAATAGAATACTATCGATATAATCATTGATATTAAGAAATGAATGTAATATTTCATGAGCCCAAAAATAATCGAAAATGATATGATAAATTTCACATGGAAGTTTATTAAGAAACGAAAACATAATTATCTTGAAAATAAATATATATGATAAAAAAATGAAGTTTTAGACATGTGATATAACGAAATAAATGATGCAGCTTTTTATAATGCGAAGAACAACAAGCGTGGGTTATTTGTAAGCGAATAGATATGACATTCATTTGTTTATTTAATACATATATATCACATGGTATTTTCTTTCTTTCTTTCCTTTCGCTTATTCGTTTCTTCTTATGCACATTACATATATCCAGATTTTTTCATTCCTATTCGTCACATAAACTTTTTATGAATAAAGGAGAGACATGAAGAGACATACTCCTTAAGACTCTATCATCATTCCTATCATTTGATTGTACATTTATGGTAACAAGAATTCAAAGTAAAATGGATTATTTGTTTGAATAAATTCTAATCGTTTTAGATAGCGAACATATTCCTCTTCGAGATATTTCTTATCATAAAATTTCGTAAATATTTCATAAATATCACAAATTTCGAAAAAGTATCTATGATGAACACTGCTAAGAGTTCATCGAAAAAAACATCAATCTTAGAAGAAATTTTTGAGAACGAAGGCATTGGATAGTTTTCCTCAACATATTTGTATAGTTTGTTAGAATATTCTGTTGTTTTTATTGGTTCTGCTCATTAATTGAATAATTATAGTTGATAGACGGCTTGGCCGCAGGTAACGCACTCACATTTTGGCAACTTTCCATTCCATTTTTCTCCGAAACAGTTAAACTTAGAGTAGCAAAATTTTGTGGATAGATGCACATTAATTATGTGTTTAATGCCTAAAAGTTTCACCTCAATGGACTAGACAGTTAATGTTTTACAAGAAAAATACATGCCAAAAACGCACTCACCGAAAAGGCCCTCTTTTTTTCGGTGATGTCAGAAATGGTGAATTGCCCACAAATGCTTAGGCTATAAAGAGATACGGCCGAGAGCAAATTTGTAGAG